TCAAAAAACGTGCATGTAAAATTTTGATTTTTGTCCGAAAATTTCAGAGGTCGATTTTTTCGAAAAATATCAAGTGTCTTAAAATGCCTCCTATTCTATATCACTTTTCTTCTCAAGGAAGTCCAGAATGCAACGAACTTATTTAAAAACACGCTAGAAGCTTTAGATCTAAAATAATCAACATTTTTGGATAAATTAAAGTGGCTTTTACACAATCAGAATCTTCAACCGACGATATCCGCCTTATTATAGACCAAAACACTTTGTAAATTCATATTGGGAAGCTTCTTCGGACCGAAACAAGCCATTGGAGATCAAAAAACGTGCATGTAAAATTTTGATTTTTGTCCGAAAATTTCATAGGTCGATTTTTTCGAAAAATATCAAGTGGCTTCTTCTCAAGGAAGTCCAGAATGCAACGAACTTATTTAAAAACACGCTAGAAGCTTTAGATCTAAAATAATCAACCTTTCTGGATAAATTAAAGTGGCTTTTACACAATCAGAATCTTTAACCGATGATATCCGCCTTATTATAGACCAAAACACTTTGTAAATTCATATTGGGAAGCTTCTACGGACCGAAACAAGCCATTGGAGATCAAAAAACGTGCATGTAAAATTTTGATCTTTTGAAAGTTTCATAAGGGGTAGGGGTCGATTTTTTCTAAAAATGTTAAGTATCTCGAAATGCCTCTAATTCTACATCATCTTTTTCTTAAGGGAGCCAAGAACTCAATGAGCTGATTAAAAACACGCTAAAGCTTTAGATCTGAAATAATCAAAATTTTTGGATAAATAGTGGCTTTTACACAATCAGAATCTTCAACCGACGATATCTGCCTTATTATAGACCGAAACAGTGTAAATTCATATTGGGGAGCTTTTTGGGTCCGAAACAATCCATTCAGCTCACGAACGTGCATGTAAAACTTTGATTTTTGACCGGAAATTTCATGAAGGGCAGAGGTAAATTTTTTCGAAATATAGTAAATCTCTCAAAATGCCTCAAATTCTACATGATTTTCATCTCAAAGAAGTCAAGAATGGAACGAGCTTATTGAAAAACACGCTAAAAACCCCAGATCCAAAATAATCAGCATTTTGCCTCATTTTAAGCGGTTTTTCAGCGGTCACAATCTAGAACCAACAACATATTTCTATTATAGACTCAAACTATATAATTATTATTAACTGAAACTATATATTTATTTAATAATACTGAAAAATTTAGAACTCACCATCTGAATGGTACAACGATCTTGAGCAACAGCTACTGACAAATTCAGGTATCTTATTACCGGCTGAGTCAACTAGCTGATCAAATTTCCAGTCTGGAGAAGTTACATAAAAATTGCGATAATTATTACCACTGCTTGGCATTTTCCAATATCAAAACCGACAAAGATTAAGCACAAAAAGTGCAACGTGCATGTGATTTTGTAATACAAACGTTGAGTGCAATGCGATTAATCAATAAAGTAACCGTTGGTTTTTAGATGCACAAAGCAGAAATGAAAATGTGTCCATTTCTCCACAGCCAAAAGGAATAAAACATCGAAAATAGCATGATAAGAAAAACATATTTTTGAATTGCATCGGTATTGGCAGTTTATGTTCGTTTAAATTATTTTCATTTTATTTTGTTACACAACAAAATAAAGAAGAATTAAATTAAAAAAAGAGTTGCGTAGGACGATAAAACGGTTCAGACTTTGCAGATTCTCCTCCTCCTCCTCCTCACATTAACAAAACCATCGCTTCATCTACCCACACTTTTTCCCGTCGTTTTTGTCTAGAGCGTTTTCCGTGAATTTTTAAAATCAGCCAGTAACGATTTCACGAAAAAAATGCTTCATAAACTACCGCATAGTGATTATACAGTAAAGTCCGCTTATAGTGAACCCGGTTATAGTGAACTTTCGGTTAAAATCGTCCATAAAGACCAACGTATTCTTTTACTGGTTATAACGAACTTCCGGATATAACGATCACTTTTTAGGATAGTTGTATATTCACTTACAATTGTTTTTTGCCGCGTTATGTATGTAAATAGTTTTAGAATGGAAAAACAAAAACGCAAAGCTTTTTCACTAAATGAAAAGTACCAGATTATTAACAAAATAAAAAGTGGAGTAAAGCAGAGTGACATTTGTAAGGAATTAGCACTTGGAAAGTCTACTGTTGCAACAATATGGAAAAACAGAGAAAACATTTTATCAGCGTATGACAAAACAAATGCTAGATGTAGGAAGTTAAAATTATCTGCACATGAAAAGGTTGGCAAGAGACTTATTAAGTGGTTTACTCAAAAAAGACAAGAAAACGTTCCCATAAGTGGCAGTGTTTTGCCAGAAAATGCTAGTAAAATGGGGAGTAAAATCAAAAACAAAGAGTTTGCTTGTTCTAAAAGTTGGGAAGAGCGGTTCAAGAAGACGCATAATATCAGTAGCGGAAAAATTGTTGGACAGTCTGCCGGTGAAAAATCCTTCTTATGAAAACGTTAGAGGCGATCGATAAAAATGAAACATTTTCTATAAATCTTTTAGATGCAGTCAATTTAATTCATAGAGCTTGGCAAAAAGTTAGCCGAAAAACCATTGCAAATTGCGTTAAGCATGGGGGATTTGTAAGAAAAGAAAATGATTATGAACCAGACGATGAAATTCCACTTAACGAATGGTTAGAAAAGTATAAAGACTCTCGTAGTCAGAGTCTCTGACTACGAGTATGACAGACGAAGATGTCCCAATGTTGTCGAAGAACAAGTTAAAACGAAATTGAGTGATTTCAATTGCTTCGAATATGTGATAATGGCATTCTTACAAGAGAAATGTTGATCGATGAGCAAATTATAGACTCCGTAACTTCATCTACAGCTTTAAGCGATAATGAGAAAGATGACGATTTTAGGTGAAACGTCTTCTACTGGAGACACTAATGCTGTTCCAACTATTTCTGAAATGACAAAAAAGTGTCAGAAACTCGGAATTTTCTACAATCACGCCAAGTTTCTAATCATATCTGGAAGTCTTTTTGTGATCTTGAAAACTACTTAAATAACAACTATTTTTGCAGCAGAAATGTACAAACAAATATTACAGACTATGAAGTAGATTTCAAATTGAATTTTGTTTATCTTTTTGTGTTCTTTTTAGTCATACCTACTAACCTCTACCACTCTATGTAAAAATAACGAAATAAAATACCCCACCTGTTTTTGTATTATTATTCGCTTATAGCGAACTCCGGATATAACGAACCAGTTTTAGTTAATTTTTCAGGTTCGTTATATCCGGACTCAACTGTATTTAAGGTGTGGCTTTGCCCAACTGTTATTTTCAGTGAACAACCATACACCCTTTGATTGCTGACAATTTAAAAACAAATGACTTCAAACCGCTAATCTGCTTATACCGACAAAATAATGCAGTTAATTTAAACCGCACATCCGACTAAAAGTCAAGATAAACTTGGGTTATGTTTGGTCGTTCCGAGCGAACGAAAGTGGTTCCATCAGGTAGCATTGTTTACCTGAGGTGGCTTGACTCACCTGTTAATCCGGCTAAAATCAGCACCGAACACAAAGCGGCCGACATGTTGATGTTGTCTCGTCCAACAGTCAAAACAGATCAGGCACAGAAAAACTTGAGTTTTCGGAAAAAACGGCCGCACCAAAACTTGGAAAAGTTTACGGAAAACCCGAACAGAACTCGGTTTTGCCAACGTACAAAATGGACATCGTTGAATGGAACGACAAACGCGACTGGGAGCGGAACTTCGCACAAGAATATGAACGCTAAGCGGCGAGGCGCCGTCGCATCAACGGGGGGAGTTTTTCCGTTTTTTTGTTGTTTTTTCTCACCCACCTGTTCTGTTCTGATCATCCAACTCGATGTCGTTGATCGGTTTTGTTTGCTATCAGGTGTTTATCAATTGTTTATTGCTCTTATCGGTAGATTTTAGAAACTATGTGAGATAAAGCGACCTGACTAATATAAAAGCCTCCAAAAATGCTTGCAGGTTTRTTTAGCTGAAATTGGGCTCGCTGGGATTTTGGAACTTTCCAACGAATGTTTTTCTTCGGGAAATCTTCTGGTCGAAAATTAGTTTTYCTCCTCGACATGCGTAGAGGTCCAAAAATGGGGTCATTTAAAGTTTTCCTGGCTATACGATCCTCGCGTCCGAACTTCAAAGTGCTTTGACCTTTATGCTGGAAAAAGCTCCAACCGAAAATCAATTGKATCCGGTCAACATTAATATAAAAAAACAAAAGGTTGTTAATAGGGGGATTGTCTAAAAATGATGCAAAATGTTTTTTTGCGTTTCATTTTTAKTTTTGCAAAAAATCCGGCATTAACATATTTTCTTTTTCTTCTTACTTTTTCCTCAAAATGTCCAAGTATTTTTTTCAAACCTTGCAATCGTAAAAGCCCAATTTTTGCGTAGAAACGCTCTGAGCGTAAGAGCTGTATGCGCCATCAATGTACCCAAAAATCTCGCATTTCGTTAAATTTCGAACTACAGTTGAGTCCGGATATAACGAACTTGAAAAATGAACTAAAACTGGTTCGTTATATCCTTTTCCTTACAACTGTCACTCTGCTTTACTCCACTTTTTATTTTGTTAATAATCTCGTACTTTTCATTTAGTGAAAAAGCTTTGCGTTTCTGTTTTTCCATTCTAAAACGATTTACATACATAACGCGGCAAAAAACAACAAGTCACTGCCTGTTTCTCGCTCTCACTCATGTAAACAACTCTGCACGATTGGTGTTGCTGAGCGTGGAAGTTCGTTATAAACGGAAAGTGAATATACAACTAACCTAAAAAGTGATCGTTATATCCGGAAGTTCGTT